CCCGCCCCGCCCCGCCCCATTGCCATTCCTCTCCGCATAATTGAATGTAAATAGTGCAGATATTACTAGACCGAAAAATTCGGATGACCATTTCTTGATGTGTTAATAAAGCGTATCCAGGGCTCGAGCTCAGCTGAAGAGGTCTAGCCTGATATGAGAAGTGATACTTCAAGCCCAATTCAAGATTTTAAGCCTGTCAGTACATAATAGTATTATAATCATTACTTGCTGGTAACAATTATTGAAAAGCGAGTTCAGGAAAATATCTTGAATACGAGTTAAGAAACAAGAAGAGCAAAAATTTGAGATGTCACGTAAAATATTGAAAAGTAGCGCTTCTCTCCCCCCTCTGGTTTGGTTTAGTAGACTTTAACATAAAATAAAATTACTATGACTGGGGCATACCGAACAAGCACAATAGATACTGAGGTTAGATATCTACCTGCAAGAGCAAGGCATTTAGGAAAAGTTTACCTCAGACTATGTGAAGAGTTAACAGTATGGACCATGTGAGACAATTTAATACTGAGAAGGGTATCACGCTACAATCATAGGGTCGACAAACGAGACTTGAGAGTTTGGCTTATTTATATGGAAATAATGCATGGGTTTTATGCCATCTTTTTTCTTGAAAGCACTCTTGTTTCCTTTATAATGTACTAGACAAACATAAAGCAAGTTCTGCTACTATCCAAGAAAGAACTTAACAAGCCCTAGCTAGAAACACTCAAGAATATGATGAAAAACTGTATTTATATTGAATGCCAAGCTCAGTTTAAATACAAGTCTTCCTAATAGTACTCCTTGAATTTCAAATCAAAACACTATCAGGAGCAAACTAACTGAATGATAAATATGAACTAAAAGGATAGCTCTAAATCTATATCTAATCTAGGATAAGCATGAAGGCTAAGAACTAATCCAAAGGGATAAACAACTGGTGACAAATGTTGTTCCAATACGCCCCCCTCAAGTTAGGCGATGTGTAACTAAGCCTTACTTGAACAGATTTCGGTCAAAGGTTGGTTTGGCAAGTGGCTTGGTGAGCGTATCAGCTAGTTGGTCAGCAGAATGAATATGAACAACTTGAACCCCCTTCTGTTGAACATGGTTGCACACAAAGTGAAAGTCCACCTCAACATGCTTCATGCGACTATGAAGGCCCGGATTCTCGCTTTGGTAAGTGACACCAATGTTGTCACAGTAGATTGCGGGAGTGTCTTTGACAGGAAGCTTCATCTCAATCAATAGGTTTCTCACCCATAACAGCTCAGCAAGAGCGTTGGCAACAACTCTATATTCAGCTTCAGTTGATGAGCGAGCCACAATTTTATGCTTTTTTGAAGACCAACTGATAGGGTTTCGATCAAGAAACAGAATATAGCCAGATGTAGAGGATCTATTAGTGAGATCTCCAGCCCAGTCGGCATCAGAATAAATGTGCAGATTAAAATAAAATTTGGGGACACACGGAAACCAAACTAGATTGTACCACGAAGATACCTGAGAACACGTTTCACAGCTTTCCAATGTAGGTCCGATGGCGATTGCATAAGCTGGGACAATTTATTGACCGCATAGGAAATGTTCGACCTTGTAAAAGACAGATATCGAATCTGCCTAGGACTCGACGATAGCGAGTTGCATCTGTAAGGTCAGGACCATCATTGAGTTTGAGTAACTCGGAGTTACTCATTGGTGTTTTAGCACATTTGTAGTCAGACATCAATTCCGCACTTAATATTTCATTGACATAATTTGCTTGAGAGAGAATAATGTCATCTGAACTTCAAATCACCTCAACACCAAGAAAGTAATGAAGGTTTCCCAAATCCTTAATTGAGAAGTGAGAAGCAAGGAAATCTATAACCTTATTCACAGTGCTAGGATTGATACCGGTTGAGAGTTATTGTTGTAGGATTTGTCACCCCCTGATCTCGGGGAGCGCGACCGGCGCTCAACAAAGTTACCCCGGTCGAGCAAGCCTGCACAGTGCTGTCTACCCAACTTATCCATGAATAAAAAGAATAATACATTTCATTAATTAGACAGTAAGAGGTCATATGAATAATACTAGTTCATTTCCATAAGTTACGTCATTAACAAGTCTCCAAAACAGTACCTTATATAGTCATAATTAAAGTGGAACAGATGATATGATTACAACAAGTTTAGTTCAACCTTCCCAAAATAGGATACAACCCACACTATGTCTACGGAACCTCTAACAGAAACAAAAGACTACTACGACAGAGCCGGCAACATGGCCCCGGCTATCCCTCAAAACACTATGGACATGGAACAAGAGATACATGACCCCGAAATGAAGTGGGGCTCACCAAGTCAGCTGAGGAGAGGGTGTGCTGCTATCATTGATCAATGCCATCTATTATGAAACCACCTGTATCCATTAAAGATGCAGTGCCCCCGACAAAAGGGATGTTAGTACATGTCAAATAGTACTAGTATGAAAACAAAACATATGCAAGGACTTGAAATTATAACATGGAATGAATCATGGTAACAATAAAAGGCTTAGTTGGCCGTTAAAGCCATAGCAAATTTATTAAGAGCTTTCAATAATATTTATAAATTCTTAAGTCGAGGATCCTCTACAACTACCTTTACACAAAGCGGCGCTGCTGGCTCACCCCATCGTATACGGGTGGGGTGAAATCACAATACCAGAAACTCTACAAAGCGGCCCCGCCGCCTCATCCCAATATATGTGGGTGGAGGTGCATTCACCATGCCACAAACTTTACACAAAGCGTCCCTACCGCCTCACCCCTATGTATGCGGGTGGAGGTGTATTCATAATACCACAACTCTACACAAAGCGGCCATGTCGCCTCACCCCAATGTATGCGGTTGGAGGTGTATTCACAATGCCACTTCTCGAATTCTCAAAATAATAATAGTTTGTACGAAAGAGTTCCCTTTTAAATCAACCATTTGGCACCTTTGGCCTTAGCAAGTGTAAGTTCATAAGGTTTCATCATGTGAGAAATAAGTGTATAATCACATTGATTTCATACAAGATCTTCTTCCCAAAAGGGGTATGACATAATTAAGCAAAAATAGCCACATACGACGCGCATGTAGGGAATTCCAGAACGTTCCAAAAAATCATTTCTAGCCACTTTTTGCTCTGCCGTGCCATGCCCCGCGCTGCCCCATGCGGCGCGGTAGTGTAAATTTGGCCATAAATTGAGTTTTTTTCACTTTGCAGGAAAATTGCACTAGCGCTATGAGGCCCGCGGAGCGGTAGTGCAATTTTCTCAGGGTGTATTTGTTTTCTCATTTTTTGATGTCCAGACTTGGTTTTCGAACCCCCGAACGTGATCCATTAACACACGAGGGTTCTAACACGTTATGCCAATCGGAAATCAATTTTACTAGTTTGAATACCCCACATCAGTAGGGTTTCAAGTTCGACTACACAAGATAGAATTTTACAAGGATTCGGAAATTCCGATAGAATAAGAGTTTAGCTATCATACCTCGAAAGAGTTTTTCATAGTGCCACAATAATGTCCCAACACTCCTAACAATGCCAATCTATAGAGGAGGAGGAGGGAATTATAAGAACGATTAGAGGAATTTGCATGGCAAGGACTGTTATGATTGTGACCCGACCTTTCCCTCAACCAATTTAAGAACAAAACCACCCAAGGTGGTTCAACAATTCAACAACCTCCCCACAGTCTCTATTAGCTCATGCATGTGATAAATATTCCCTCATCACCCATAATCAATCCAAACCCGAAATTGAAGAATTGGGGGAAGAAATCTTACCTTTTTGAAGCCTTAGCAAGTTCCTTTTGATGGAAATCCAAAGTTTGATCAAGGTAGAGTAGTGAAATCCTTAGTCCTCCCTTCTCTCTCTCTAGAATAACTCTCTCTTCTCTTTAAAATGTCAGGTAATTCCCCCAAAATGAACCCTTAGGTTAGATAAATAAAATAGGCGGGTTATTAAATTAAAAAAAATAAAGCCCTAATGCTTTTGCAGTTCGCAAAATGGGCCGCATAATGGCCCTCCGGAACTAGGCACTTCTACCTCACTCTGCGACCGGTCTGCAGCCCGCAGATCTATTCTGCAGCCGCATAATGCGCAGCAGAATCTCCCTCCGAAAATTTTTGAGCTGGATATGTGATGGGTTATGCGGCCACATAATGGACCGCATAATGGTCCGAAAATTTGCCCAGATTTCTACCTCAGTTTGCGGCAGATCTGCGGTCCGCAAATCAATTCTGTGACCGCAGAAACGCCCTGCACTTCCAAAAATTTTCTTCAACTCCCCAACGTATTGCTCAACCCAAAAAGTCCGAACAGCGGCGAGCTTGCTCGCCGCGAAGAATCCCTTGACTCGTCAACACATAAGTCTACTTCGGCACCACGAAACCCCGATTTTTAGGTATAATTTTACGGGGCCTTACAGGATTGGCGGCGATTGTTGACATTGTTGTTCTATTTGTTGTGATTAGCAACCACTGTTGTGATAGGACTATGAGTTTTCTAAGTTTTTCTCATGTCGGATAAAGAGCTCGTGATCGAGCAACTTTTCATATAGTTCCTCATAGGTGATGGTGGTGTCACGTGCTCATATGGTAGCCGATATCTCACAAAACTTAGGGCCAAGTCCACTAAGAATCTTGACGATAAGTTCGGAGTTAGAAACCGAGGCACCTGTAGTGGCAAGTTCATCAGAGAAGGTCCGAATACGCTGAAGGTACTCAGTAATAGGAATGGTGTCTTTTGTGATTAGTACAAGTTGGTCACGAAGGTTGAAGATCCGAGTATGGGACTTGTTTGCATAAGCAGTGTGCAAGGAGTCCCAATTTGGATGTGATTGCAATAGCAACTGTGGAAGCAATGGTAGGGTCAACAGACGCCATAAGAGCATTCTGGATGAGTTGATCCTGATGGAATCAAAGCGTATAAGCAGGATGAGGGTTGTATTGGTGCCAGAAGTAGTGCTCAGGGTGGGAATCAGGGCAGACCCATCAAGGTGATCGTAGAGGTCATGGCCGTGCATAAGCATGAAGAACTGAGCTTTCCAAGTGGCAAAATTATGACTGCCACTAAGTTTGATAGGTAGTTGGGAAGCGGGTTGAATTGGATGATGGTGGTGGTACCGGTAGTGTTGTCGGCATTGACAACTCTGGTAGTGTTTCCATCTTTCGTCATTGGAGGGTTTGGTGCAGAAAACAAATTGGATCGTGCTCGTTAGAGTTGTATAGGCTCAGATACCATATAAACACTCAAGAATATGATGGAAAACTGTATTGAATGCCAAGCTCATTTTAAATACAAGTCTTCCTAAGAATACTCCTTGAATTAGGAGACTTATTCAAATCAAAACTCTATCAAGAGCTAACTAACTGAACGATAAATATGAACTAAAAGGATAACTCTAAATCTATATCTAATCTAGGATAAGCATGAAGGCTAAGAACTAATCCAAAGGGATAAACAACTAGTAACAATTGTTGTTCCAATACTAGCAAATAACTTAGTTCCCCAAGGCTTAGATAGATACGAAGAAATCATCTAGCGTCTTTTCCCCTCGACCTAATATCAACCAAACATATTCTGCTCCAGAACCAAACTCATTAAATACAAAGGTGAAAATGAAATTTGGCAAGATCAGTCCATACGCCACCATATTTCCACTTTAGTGATATCATGTTAATCACATCTACTTTGAAGGGGACTGCAGTTAACCACTTAATATTAAGCAAGTCACATGGTTCTATTAAGTGACATCTAAAAACTTCAATTAAGCAGTCCCAAACAACTTTGCCTTATATTATGCTTGGCCTGATAAGAAAAAACAGATAACTAAGCAAGTACAACACCCTGGAATAGCACCTCCTGATGTACTTTCTGAAGATTATGTTGATTCAACAATCATTCAACATTTTTTTAAAATGATAGCATGGACACTACAGTGAATAATATGAGCTAAGCCGACCATAAAATGATAATGGCGAAAACTTCGCACTTGTTACAGTACTGTAGAATCTAATGACATCCTTTAACCATGAGATGCACAATATAATCAATATGACTCCTGGCTGATCACAGTTCAAGTGCAAATGTACTGGTCTCCGAAGATCATGCACCCACAAAAACGATTTGCATCTTCGGTTCAATTTGGGCTATAATCCTGAATCTACTTCCTTAAGAACCTATTATTTGTGAAGTATAGGATTAATTACAAGATCTGCTTTCAGTAGAAACTACAAGATACAATGTCCGGGAATTGGCATTATGAAACTACCACATCGATGGTACATAGACCTGCTCTTTGAGATTCTGTGTGGCGCTTTCAGTGGGAAAACCCCTAACAGCACCAATTGTCCACTGGGATATTATGCCCGCGGCAACTGCAAAGCGAAGCTGTCTCTCCAGAACATCTTGATCGTTATACATCTCTGGTTGTGTCGTCAATTTTCTCATTATTCCGGCAACAACAGCATCACCAGAACCAGTTCTATCACAAGTGAATGGTGTTATGAGAACATCTTCTGTACCAACCACAACGCCATCAAAAGTAGGAGAATAGTAATGAACCCTAAGTGTCCCATCTGTAACAAACAAAAGTTTCATTCCATCGTGCCATAAGGGGGCAATTTCCTCAGGAGTATAGTGATAATAATCTCTTCTTTGTTTGGTTTGTTCAAAATTCTCCGCAAAGTATTGAGGTCTGTAATTCCTTTTCCTCTCGTAATGCTCTTCGTCAAGAAGAAATTCAAGCTCTTGCCTTGAGACCTCAATGATGTTAGCCTGTTCCCAGGCTTCCTTGATTAAATTTCTGGTCTCATCACGTGATCTCCACAAGGGCAACGGCAGATTCAAGTCAAAAAATACAAGGCCACCAAACTTCTTTGACAATGAAATTGCTTTAAAAAGAGTAGAACGCATAGTTGAAGATGTTAAGACTTCAGAATTAAAGTGAAATATCCTGGCCTGCAAAAGAGAAGGAAAAGCTCAACAAAATTTGTTCAAAATACTTGTCCCAACATCACCCGGACAAAAAACTTGTTAAAGCACGTAATATGCAACTTATCAAATTTCCCTACTGATCGCAACAGAATGAAAACTGATTATATATCGAATTGCCTTTCACTATGGGAGGATCGGTCAGTATCAAGCTAAAAGTCTTGATTGTTTCGGGAAGATAAGGTAACTAGTCAAACAAGGAACGACATAACAATATTAGTACTACCAATGACAACTAGTCGACAGGACGCTAGAATTTAATGAATAGGGAACTACACTTTCACTACCTCCAAGTAAAAGGAGTATATACAATTAGCACAAATGTCAAACTCAAATAAATAGGTTGACAAGAATTATGCATCTTTAGTCAATTTGTTCTACAAAAACAAATGCATCTATACAAAGGACTGTCAGCAGAGTGAACAGATCAGGCAAGCCTCAGAACAGGAGAAAGCATTAAAACTGTTAGTGACTGCACAGCAGTTTCTACCTACAAACGGTGTACTTCTTCAACAGTCTGACTCAAATATACCTATTGACAATCGTTTATATGGAAATTTGCTACATCTATGAAGCCATTGGGTTCTTACATTTTCCATTTTGCACAAGACAGGGCAATACCAATACCTTCATTCACGAAGCAAATTAGGTTCATGCATCCTCTATTAACATTTAAAGCCAAACACCACTATGAAAAATAGAAAAAAGCAACATGCTTGACAATGTTACTACAACCCTATCCATAAAAAAGAATCTATTTACCTCTTTTAGCACATCAAGATTCAATTCGGAGCTAAGCAAAGAATCCTCAGCAGACTCTTTAACTTTCTCCACCCTCATTTTCCCATCCTCAAACTTAATTTTCATATGAGTACATCCAGTCCTCATACTATCATCAAATTTAACTGCCCGAGTCTGCACTTTCTCTTTATTCATTAACAAAACCATTTCTTGACCAAACTCATCATTCCCAACTTTACCCATAAATGCAGCTCTACCACCAAGCCTAACATGGGATATAGCAACATTAGAAGGTGGCCCACCAGGAGCTCTAACAAACTCAGGTGGATTCCACTGTAACATTTTCCACTCTGAATACTTATCTTGGTGCATCTGCTCATGAGATACTCTCACGGTTGGCACAAACTCCTTTTGTGCTGCACCAAAGCAGATGACTAAAGGTGGGTTTGGATATGGAAAATCAACCCCATCATCATATTTTTCAATCTTGTCATCAGCATTTTTTGAGAAATCCATTTGGGTGTTGGATTTTTCAATGTTGGTTTCAAAGTTTGAATCTTTTTGGGGTTTTGAGCTTTTTTTAGCTGTTCTTGATGATTTTTTGGGGCCACGAGGTGAGGGTTTAGGGGGTTCTTGGGTGGTGGTGGAGTGGTCATTGCCACTGGATGCTCTTAGTGGGTTTTTTCTGTGGGGAAGTTTAGAGGAGAAGAAAATGGTGGAAAAGTTGAAGTGGGTTAGTGAATTGTGAGAGTGTTGGGGAAGAGATTGTGGAAGAAAATGGATTGATGCCATGGCTTCTTCTCGGTGTTAGGGTTTATCCATTTCTCTAGGAGATAGAGGTTTTGACTTACCATCGGGCTCTGATAATTTACCCGACTTGTTTCGGATGGTTCGTTTACCTGCCGGGTCGAATTAATGCCCAACAAGGCCAACATTAAGTATGACACTTTCACCTGGGGTGTTCATGGTTCGGTTTGGATCGGGTTTTCTCTAAAAATAACCAAATCAAGTAAGTCGGTTCTTCAAATATTGAAAACAAACCAAACCAATTAAGTTAATTTTTTATCAATTTGGTTTTTGTCGGTTTTGGTCGATTTTTCGATTTTTTCGGTTATTTATCGGTTTTTTTCTTAAATATGAGACATACACTACCAAACACATATTCCGGAGATTATATTTTTAACGTAACACTATCAAACCAATTGCTCTTTGAGAAATCTATCATTTACCAAGATATATTGATGATAATTGAATCAAATAGTGATGAATAATTAAGTACTCAATTAAAAATCGATTATTTTTAACATGAAATAAATTCGTGTACTTACCAAAAGAAAACTACCAATCAAACTAGAATGTAAAGTCAAATAATTAGATTATTATAATTGTAAAAAACTAGACTAAATGTATAAACGACTAATATGTACCATAAAATTTTAGAAACTTTATATATATATATATATATATATATATATATATAGGTGTAATAATTAATTTAAATAGCTACTTCTATAGTTGGTTTGGTTCGAGTTTTTTCGGTTATTTTTTGAGTAAAACCAAAACCAAACTAAATTTGATCGATTTTTAAAATTCAAAACCAAAACCAAACTAAACCTAAAAAGCATCGATTTTTTTGGTCGGTTTGGTTCAATTTTTCGGATTTTTATGAACACCCCAAAAAACTGCAGAAATATGATACTTTTTGGAGTGACCGTTAACTTTTGGCTTTTCCTTGTCCTCTGGGCAGAACTTCAAGGTAGATGCAAAACCTGTTAAACTTGAAGTTTTGCTCATGGGATCATCGGGGACAAAAATTCAGTATCATCCACTTTGAGGGCTATTTGTGTACTTCACTCCTTCCACGCGGGTCAATAACACAAATAACCTTGAAAGTAGCTAATCTTGAACTTTTGATTTTGTGGTAGGTCGCCTAACCATTGAAAAAAATTTCAAGTTTAACAATTTCTGCCCCATGTGCGAAACTTTTGACCTTAAGGGTATGCCCATTTTGTCAAGTTACCTTTCCCAGAGGCCAAAAGTTAAAGACTACCCCTTATAGTTTCCTACTTTTGCTATTTTCTGCTCCCATGCTCATTTTTTTTTATGTTTGAGCCCACTTTTGGAAGTTTTAAGTTTAATGGAGTTAACTATTTATTAGAAATGTTTAGGTTTTGATCACTTGTTATAGTAATAATGAAAAATCTCATATTCACCTTTTCGTTGTTAATGGCTAATTGCAGCACCGGGGGTGACCCAAAGCCAATGTCAACCACCACAATAGGTACCTCGATTTCTGTCTCATCTTTCTCCCTTCTCCTCTCTCTCTCTCTACTCTTTTTTTTCTCCCGCTCTTCTCGTCTACTTCTTTTTTCTACCCACCACTGCCCTAAATCACATCAGCAGCGACCCAACACCGACGACCACTATAATA